CTTGTCTTGCAGGGGCCGTGGTAAATAATGAAATGCCAATGTGCTGATTGAAGTGAATTTCTTGGGCATTGGTTAGCAGTGTGATCCAATAAATTACTGTGAGTTCAGGACCTTGTTCTTAGTGGTGTCTACCACCCCACCACTGTCTTCTCAGTAGGAAGCGCATACAGATCCGGCTCCGTGAGCAGGGCCATCCTTAGGACTGACTGCCAGGTGCCGAAGGACACGCTCCCTGCCCAGCATGTCCACAGATCTTTGGGAGAAAGCTGCAGTTCACATGATTAGTGAGCTGTGGTCTTATAAAATGCCTTAATGAAACTGTTCATTTGGTCTCAACTGGATTACAACAAGCAGCCGTCTTACAGTAAATATCTCACCGATGAGTTTTGCCTTCTGGATCTTCTTTCTGGTATATGATAGACACATGCTATCAATAAAAATTGACCAGGAATTCACAGCACTCTGAGAATGGTATCCTTGTCGGGCATGGCACACACCTTTAATCCCAGCACTCAGGAGGCAGAGGCAGGCGGATCTCTGTCTGTTGCACGCCAGCCAGGGACTACACAGAGAAACCCTGTCTCAAAACAAAACAAAACAAAACAAAACAAAACAAAACAAAACAAAAGAACTTGGGTGGGGGTGTAAATGAGTGAGGGTCCAATGAGTAAATTTATTACTGAGTCTCTAGAAGGGGATTTCTCCAAGAGGTGACATTTGACTTCCTATTACAAATGTCTTAGCTATACCTGGCAACTGTTACTAAATTGAAAACAGCCACTATATCCCTGATTGACTGTGTTTCAAGATCTTATTTCTTCTGGACCAAAGTAACTAGATTTTAACAAAGAGTGCGATCAGCAGTGTAATACAGGGAAGATTTTGCTCACTAAGAAACTGAACCAAGTTGTCAGCTGCCTCTGTTTATACGGTGGAGATTGCGCTTGTCCAGTGTGCCTCCATAAGAGAAGTCCTGGTGGAAGAGTTTATTTTTTCTAAGCTACAGCTGATTACTTTTCCAAATACACCTGCCATCTACTTGGCTTGCTTCACTGATCTTTCTGTATATTAATGATCACTGGATAGCTGTGGAATTAAAAGGGGGTGGAAAACAGGGATCTAAGGGAGTACTCTGAAAGTTCTTCTCAAACGTATGTTGTTGTAGAGTTAGAGAATAGAATTCAAGCATTCAGAGCGTCTCAGTCCTGTAGACAAATGGAGTGAGGAGGAGGCTTCTGTGTTCTAGGACTCACACACATTCCGTACAGCTGGCTTCCTCAGTGGCCCGTCAGCAGGGTTGGTGGCTTACTGAGGTCAGGATGTCTTTTGTCATGCCCAGAGTGTCTGAATTTAGGCAGTGTGGCCACAAAATAAACACGTCAGCCCACCCATCTGTGGGACATACAATTTAGAAGCGTCCCTGTTAGCTAATTGTATTTTTAACCTTCGGAACTGCAGTTTCTTTCGATGCTTTGGGCCAGTGAAAATAAGATTAAATCATGGTTTCCACCTAGGAGGATTGGGACCAGAAAGCCAAGCTGGAGCTGTCATCTGTGGTCTGTCACTCTCTGGGGCTGCTCATTCAGGAGAAATGCCTTTGTTGAAATAAGAATAAAAACAGTAATTGACTGCTTCAGCCTCCTGACCTTGGTGATTGCTACATCCTCTGATGTAATGTAGTTTATGGAGTGCCAAGGTTTTTAATTAATGAGCAAAGCACAGGTTTCTGTGGGCTTATGCCAATAGTCTCACTTAGTCTAATGTGCGTCTTTTACTCTCTCCCCACCCCTGCTACTTCTTTCTCTTCCTTCCTGCTCTTCTCTTCCTGTCTGTCCCCTTCCCAGGCTCCCTCCTCCACTTCCTTTTCCTGTCTCTGCGCTTCTCCGAAGGCTTTCTTTTTAGGTAGGTAGGCATTGTTGGTTTGTCTTTTGTAGGCTTTAGGAGTCTTTTTTTGATTTTTTTATTGTTTTGGTTTTCGAGACAGGGTATCTTTGTGTAACAGCCATGACTGTCCTGGAACTCACTTGGTAGACCAGTCTGGCCTAGAACTCACAGAGATCTGCCTGCCCCCTCCCAGCAGCTTTTAGGAGTTTTGCGTGTACAAAAAGAGTTCCTTGTAACATCTCCTTGAAGCCAGGCTACCTTGCCTTCGGAATATTGGTGACTCCTGCTGTAGTTTTTCTTTCCCCCTTTAATAGAAGGGAGATTTTTCTCTGTGGAAACGAGATGTTTCTTCCATAATCTTTGAAACAGACAACAGGGAAAATAGAACTTTCTGAGCAGCATAACATGTAGTCATGTAATGACTGTCTGTGTCTGGATTAGTAAGTAAAGAAAGCAAAGCTCCCTGCATTCAGTGGATCACCTGGCCCTTTTCTACACCAGGGTGGATCTCTGCAAGACAGCCATCCTGACCCTGGTTCCTTGTCACCTGGGGAGTACAGCAGATATTGTGCTTGTTCATACATGAAGGAAGAGGGTCGGCGAGGGGCTTTGTTGGTGTTTCCGTCCTTTGAAGGCATTTAGCTTCAGCTTGCAATGAGGCAAACGCAGCAGCTCTGGATTCCGGGCCTGCTGGTATTTCTGGGCACCAGGAGGTATGGAGCGCTCCCTCCATGCCTTCCTTAGGGGGCCGCCTTTGCTCAGGCACCCACTGGAGGAGACCATAGCCTGCAGAGTGCAGAGACGAGCGAGCGCTTTCTCCAAGAAGAAAACCTGCCTCTGTGTGCTCTTCCCCCTCCCAAACTGACAAGCACTTGCCATTTTGTATTTTCCCTTCATCAATGAAGGCTGAGTGACAGCCGCCACCCACCCAGGGATATTATGTAATAGGCACTGGCTCGGTTTGAGTTCATGAAGTTCTGAATTTGGAATCTTTATAAAACATCCTCTTTGGCACACTTTAAAGTCAGGCTTTGCTGGTGGGGCTGTGTGAGTAACGATGGGGGTATTTAAATATTAAAGGTTTGCTCTACCAAGCTAATCCTCGAATGCTTTGTGTCTCTCTCTGACGGGTCTGTGGTTGAACCGAAGGAGCAAATTGTTTCAGGTCTGCCGTCAGTCACCTCATGCCTGCTCCTTCATTCAGCTGGCTGCCCTCCACACAGCTCCTGTAGAAACAGCTACCTCTCCTGGGCTGTTGGCATGTTTGTTTTCTCAGGTGCCTTTCACATCTCCTGCTGACAAAGTTGAAGAACTTGCCTGAGAACAGGGCTCCAATGCTTGTGATCTCAGGCCGCGGGCGAGCTGGAGGCATTTTCAGAAGGGAGGCCGCACTGTTTCGGGGACAGCTGGGTGGAGGTGGGGCTTTTGGGAAAGCCGAGGGAGGCTCTTCAATTATCTAACCCAGCACCAGGCCCTGGCCTAAACCTAACCGATAGGAAGGGCGTTCCATACCCCGTGGCTTTCCTTGGTTTGCTCTGGCTGGGGGTGGAGAAGGGAGCCAGGAAGGAAAGGAGGCCAGATGGGCCAGGGCAGGGGGAGTACATGTGAGGGGAGGGGCCCTGGGGCCACCGAGCCCAGTGAGTGGGGTTTACTCTCACAGTTTGTCCAAGACGGCCTATGAGGCTGCATAGAAACCGATTGGCAAGCGAGTTTGTCTGCAGATGCTTATTTCCTAAGCAGAGTAGCCAGGAGTTCCAGGTGTAAGCCATTATTGAATTGATCCCGGAGCTATCTGTCACACCCTTTTTAGCTCTTTATCTTCCCTTTTCTCTTCTCTTCTCTGGGTACATTTTTATTTCAGATCAGTTTGCTTATTTTTAAGTCTTAGAGTGATTTTTATGTATGGGAACTCTTTTAAAATTTTAATTTTCTTTCTTTTATCGAAATGGATTTTCCCCCTTCATGCAATATATTCTGGTTGTGGTTCCTTCCCCCCCCTTTCCAGTTTATCCCCACCTCCCCTCCCGTCTGGATCCACTCCTTTTCTCATTAGGAAACAAACACACTTCTAAGGGGGTAATGATAACGGAAACTATATAGTAAGATGAAACAGAAACTAACACATTAGAAATTGGACAAAACAAACAGAAGGAAGAGAGCCCAGGAGAAGACACAGAGTCAGAGAGCCCTCGTTCCCACTCAGGGGTTCCATAGAAGCACTGGTCTGGAAGCCGTAGCGTGTACACCGAGGACCTCATGCAGACCCTGCAGGCCCGTGCAGGCCACGCCACCGCCTCAGTCTCACGCTGACTTAGAGGGCCTCGTTTTCTTGTCCCCCCCCCCCCCTACTCTTAACTCTTTCTGCCTCCTCTTCCTCAGAGTTCCCAGAACCCTGAGGCTGGAGGGGGTTTGGTGGAGGTGTCCCCCGTTTAGGGCTGAGTGTTCCGAGGTCTCTTTCTCTCTCTTCATGGCTGTGGGTCCCTGTTCCCATCTGCTGTAGGAGGAAGCTTCCGCGGAGTGACTTGTAAGCCAAGTGCAGAGGGTCTTTGTTTTCACAATGACTTCCCATTATGCTTTGGCTTGTCCCTTACCTTACCCTGTCCTTTTTTTTTTTTTTTTTTTTTGTGGCTGTTCTTCCCAGTCACAAAAATACATATTTAAAGCTACTTTTCTAAATACACAGTTCTGGTCCCTAGTGAGATGCTACTGAAAAGATTGGAGCCAGAAGTCCTGACAGTACGTTTCCATGCCACTCCATGCTTTCTTGAAGAACTGGGTACTCACTGACTTTACTAAGGGAAGAGGCCGGATTGGGGGTATTTGAGATGCATTCTTGGTGTTGTTAGCATTTCATCGCTCCTGAAATTGACTTTCATCAGAAATGAATGGCTGTCTCTCCTCCCTCACACAAGAGACATGCTGACTGTGACCAGACTGCGCACAGTGCCTGGAACATTCTAAGTCAGCTAAGCTCCTGACTTGAGTGGGGTTTGGGATGTTACAGAGCTGATACTGTCTTTCCGTGAATATCCACGAGTACTGACTGCTCTTTCTGAACAAAGTTCGCCCTCCATTTGTAGTTACTGAAAATATGAAACAGATAGCACCAAAGTTGCGGTAAGTGAAACTCATTGGAATAGGCACACACTAATAGAAATTTCGGAAGTAGCAGAAGCAGCAGTAATACAACAGCAGTGTTGCTCTCCATTCGATTTTGCCTTCGTGATGGGACCTGCAAGGGAAAGGAAGCATATGAACTTAGCAGGCCTTTGAAACCGGTTTCTTTTTTCCTTTTTTTTTTTTTTTTTTAATGAAACAGGGTCTCTCTGTATTGTTTTGGAGGTTGTCGGTCCAGCCTGGCCTGGAACTCACAGAGATCCGCCTGCCTCTGCCTCCCGAGTGCTGGGATTAAAGGCGTGCACCCCCCGGCCTGAAACCGGTTTCTGAGTTTCAGAGTTTCGGGGAGGTGGTTGGGGTTTCCTTGTGGGAGGGACTCCGCCATGGTGAGACAGCGATGAAGCTTACCGTTACTTTTAGTTTTTACCTGGGGGGGGCAGTGTTTTGTTTGAAATTCCGACTTAACGACGCGTGTAGGAACAGATGGTGCAAGAGCTGCCTTGGGGTGAAATGCACTGATGGGGGTTGACGAGGTCCTGGAGGTCCCGTCGCATCCAAAGGCACGTGGAGAAGGCCAGGCAGGATTCTGGAGTCCTCTGGCCAGGCCAGAGCACTGAGGTGCAGCCACGGCCACTGAGCATTGATTTCTGCTGTTTGCCCACTTGGTCTACTAACCCAGGAGAGGGTGAGGTCAGTAATGCGTGAACAGGCCTGGTGTTGGGGAAGTCCTGTGTCAATAAAGCACTGCTGGCCAATAGGAATCTAGATAGGTGGGACTAGGAGTCCAGGAGGACTCTGGGAAGGAGAAACACAGAAAGTCAAGATGTAACGCCATGGGGTAGAAGCCTGGAACTATTCTCCAGTAAGAGAAATACTTAGATTAACAGTTATGGGGTAATTACTTAAGGCAGAGCTAGCCAGTAAGAAACAAGCAAGGCCAACAGCTTCATAATTAATATAGCCTCCTGTGTGTTATTTGGGACTCATGCGGCTCTGGAATCAGGCTGGCGGGAAGGCTTCTCTCAAGGAAAAAGCTTCTCTTTACAGGCTTGGTGTAAGCATTAGAGCTCGGATGGATGGAAAGGTATCCTGGCAGCCAGGAGCCAAGAAACCACAGTCACACCACACAACAAACCCCACACAGGAGATTTATTGGGAACACACACACACACACCCAGGAGGGTGGCCGCCCCTGCTAGGGCATGAAACAGCAGAGAACTTAATTGGATACAGGACTTCTATAGAGTTTCTCCAGAAGCAGGTGGAACTTTTCAGGGTGGGGCTTCCCAGGGTGGAGGTTGGTGGGATTTTCATGTCCAGAGATTGGGCTTTTCACTCTGCAAGCTTGGGGCAGGGTCCAACAGTTAGGGCAGTTGGAGTGGGTGGAACCTGGCAGTTAGAGGGCCTGGGGCAGGAGCTTACACTTGGAACGCAGGTTCAGGGCCGCAGGAAGCCTGGTGTAGCTGAGCTGTTTGCAGTGAGTCTTGGCATCTGCAGAGATGAACGTGTAACTTGATCATCTGATTCATGATGAAGATGCTTAACACTCTTCAGGATTATTCCCTCCACTGAGTTTGTGAGTGGGAAAATTAAGTGTAGGAAGATGTTGCCAGGTCAGAGTCTGGTTGGTGCCTTTTGGGCCTTGGTGGCTTTCCCTCAGGGCTGGTTAGAGGACTGGAGAGACAGGGTTGGTACACACGTGAGTGACTGGCAGGCAAATCACTACCTGCTCTTCTTTGCCTGCTGTACTCTTTCTGAAGCAGAACTCCCAAGTGTTCAGGAGCGGATTTGTTCCATGAACCAGATCTCAAATCACTCCAAGGTCACATTTCACAGCATTGTTCAGAGGCATTGGCGAAGCTAAGCGGATACAAGCTGCATCACCACGGTCCCAGATACAGGCATCACCTGAACCTGTTTGCAGGGTCCCAGATACAAGCTGCATCACCTGAACCTGTTTGCAGGGTCCCAGATACAGGCTGCATCACCTGAACCTGCTTGCAGGGTCCCAGATACAGGCTGCATCACCTGAACCTGTTTGCAGGGTCCCAGATACAGGCATCACCTGAACCTGTTTGCAGAGTCCCAGATAACAAGCTGCATCACCTGAACCTGTTTGCAGGGTCCCAGATAACAAGCTGCATCACCTGAACCTGTTTGCAGGGTCCCAGATACCGGCTGCATCACCTGAACCTGTTTGCAGGGTCCCAGATACAGGCTGCATCACCTGAACCTGTTTGCAGGGTCCCAGATACAGGCTGCATCACCTGAACCTGTTTGCAGGGTCCCAGATACAGGCTGCATCACCCGGACTGTGAAGCTCACTATTAGCAGAGTCCCAGCCCTTTCCAGTTGCGGAACGCTCTTTTGGGAGCACTGGTCTTTAATATGCTGTGGCTAGAACTCGACCATCTTTCTTTGATGGAGCCTTTGAAGAGATAGTTGTGCGCTCATGAGCAGAGCTTCAGATGTTGACATTGGTCTGTGGGTTGGTTATCCTTTAAAGTCAAAACAAATGGCTGGGATGGTAGTTCAATCGGTAGAATGTTTGCCTAGCATGCACGAAGCTCTAGGTACCATTTCTGGTACCACGTAAAACCTGGCATGGTGACACCTGCCTGTAATCCCAGCACTTGGGAGCTGGAGGCAAGATCAAGTTCAGTCATCTCTGGCCACGTAATAGTTCCAGGCCAATCTGGGATGCACTAGACGTCGCCTTCCTAAGTAAGTAAATGAACAAGGTAACACAAATGTAACCATTGATCAAATTTGTAAACAACAGGTGTGTTATAAATATCACGGGAAAGTTGGGCCATGCTGTGTCCTGTGTGCTGTTTTCTCTAGCATTTTGATGCTGTCCACTGTGAGAATGTGGGCTTGCAGCAGGACATTACTACTACCTGCTTCCCTTGCGGGGGGCGGGGGGGTGGGGGAGTTACTATTAATTGTCCTTGGATGCCTTGCAATTTATAATTTTTCAGGAAATTAAGAATTTAAGGCTTAGCTGGGCGGTGGTGGTGAATGCCTTTAATCCCAGCACTCTGGAGTCAGAGGCAGGTAGGTCTGTGTGAGTTCGAGGCCAGCCTGGTCTACACAGTGAGCTCCAGGACAGCCAGGACTACACAGAAAAGCCCCGTCTAGAAAAAGTTTGTGAGCTCTGATCCTAACCAAGAACTAAAGCCACCCCTCAGTTTTCCTTGAAAGTGAGATCACGTTCTGTTTGTCATGTCCTTGTATGCTGATGGGGGGAGGGGGTACAGTAGGAGCTGTCAGCACTGCACCAGCAACTGTACAGCGCACCTGTACACCCATGGAAAGTCGGCCTTCTTCCTGGTTCTCTTCCCAGCCATTACTTTAAAACTAAGCTTTAGTGGATTCATTGCTGAAGACTCCCACAGTAAGAAAAAGTGTGTAGAGGAGCTGCTGGTCCTCAGAGCCCCTCTTGGCTGGGCTTCCCCTGGCCTCTGCCAGCTTCTTCCTGAAGCACTGCTTTCTGCCCCATGCCCTGGGGACCCTTTCAGGAAACCGAGGTCACATGGTCAGGGCCTCCAGGAGATCTGGTGTGTGAGCTGTGCTGTCCTGCCCCTTGGCATCTGTCACAGCCTCTGGTGTAATTCACTTAGTGTTTTCTCACTTGGCTTTTGTCTCTTTCTCTGTATGAACTTGGTGAGCCCAGGGACCACGTCACTGTAGTACATGGACCTTACCCTAGACTTGGAGGCCTTCATCAGGGCTTGCTAAACATCTAAGGAAGGGGCGACTTCCATTTGTTCTTTTTGCATGCAAAAATACACACACCTGCCTGTTTTTTCCCTTTATGGAATTCTTTGGTTGTGTGGTCCCCTCTCCCCGCATCGGTACATTTTAAATTACAAGGCTGCTGGGGTGGGGGAGGTGGTTCTGTGGGTTAATCATGAGGATTCCCCGAAGCCAGGCAGGTCTGGTAGGGCACCTCTGTAATCCCATAGTTCCTACAAAGAGCTGGGAAGCAGCCTGTAGGTGCCAGCAGCCTGCTCTATTGTGAATGAGGTCTCAGAGCAGATGGAAAGCAGGGACCTACCCATGACTTTCACATGTGCAGGGTGGCATGAGCTCACCTGTGCCACTCACCTGAACCTGTACACACATGCATGCATCACATACACAGAGGGTGAAATTATGACATACTTTAAAAAGAGCACTAAGAATTGCTGCTTATAATGTCTATGATTAATAAAGATAGAGATGTATGCAGTCTTACTGTTTTTACCATTTCAATGATATATAGCCTCATCGCCCCCCGCCCCCGCCTAGTCTGCTGTGTGGTAAGGTGGAGGGAAAGATGCCTTCCCCTGCTTGACCCTGCCCCCTGTGGAGGGGGACAAGGGAGCTTGGCCCCGCCCCCTGTGGAGGAGGACAAGGGAGCTTGGCCCTGCCCCCTGTGGATGACAAGGGCACCTCAGTGGGCCCTGCACCTCACCGGGCAGCACAGCAGAGCTGATCCTGTTGGAGGAGGTGTGGTGAGGCCACTGCTCCAAGGTGAGCATGGAAGAGCTGGCCCCTTTACTCACCTTTCATGTGGCAGCATGGGCGGGGCGGGGGCGGGGTGGGGAGATACCAGTGCCTGAGGCAGGTGTGGGGAGAGTTGGCTTTGATGTCATAAGAGCCGGAGAGCTGTCCCTGCCCCTCACCAGCTGCAGCAGTCTGGAGAGCGATCCCTACACCTCACCTGGACAGCACAGCAGAGCTGGCCCTATAGCTGTGGGGGTGGGAGAACCGATTGTCCTGGCCTCCAGCTCATCCCTGCAAGGGGTGAACTCGCCAGGGCAGTATTGGAGTGCTCACCCCGGTGGTGAGGACAAGGGAGAGCAGGCGAGCCGACCGACCCTGCTTCTACCCAGGCCCAGAGCCAGGGTTATGAGTTGGCCCACCCCAGCATCCACCCTATATGCGATCGGGGGTGGGGCTGTGGGGAGTGGGGGCGGGGTGTGGGGGTGTGGTTGTAGTTCGTGGGGTTGTCCTGTGGACCTAGGACTGCAGGATCTTCATGAGCAGGGCAGCAACAGGAAGAGTTCCAATGAGGTGCAGCAGAGAGCAGGGGCGTCGCCCCAGACCAGTTTCTGATGAGCGCCTGCTTGTAAAGATGTATGGGTAAAGGAGTCACACCGCGGCTTGTACTGTGTGACTCCCTGTGCCACACCGTGCTTCCATGACAGGATTTTCCTGTTCTCACCCCTTTCTTCATTTTTCGTCCTTAAATTTCATTTTGTTTTATTCAGGGGGGATAGGTGGGATCAGGAGGCATGATGTGAAAGAGAGGATAAGTAAAATATAAATAATAAATAAAATATAAAAATAGGTAAATTATGTATAGTCAGATTTGGATCTCTTCGGATAGCAGGTTTTTTTTCTATGTTCTGAAATAATGTAAATCCTGCATAAACACTGTAAAAGCAGTACAGAGATTTTGTGTACCTCACCCCTCACTGGGTCCGTTAGTGTTATCAGGGTTATAACCACTGAGTGGTTCCAAACCAGGGGACAGCAGCTGTGCATTCCAGAGCCCGCGCCTCACATGGATTCCACCGTGTTCCCTCTGCCTTTGCCGCAGCCCAGTGGCCATCGAGGCCCGTCGCTTGTAGCTCTCCAGCAGCTCTGAGACTACTGTAGTCAGTTACGCCATCCATGGCTTTTGGTCAGCGCCAGCCAGTGACTGGGTGCTGGCAATGGCATGGTGTCTCACTAAGTTCACGACGCAGTATGTTGATGGAGAGCCGGGCCACAGAGATGAAGTGTCCAACCTCGC